AAAACAAATAATATTTCGCAAAATTACATAAGCTACGTTTATAGGTTCAACTCGAAAAATTGTGAGAAAAATAATCACGTTTTCAAATAATATAACAAATCAAGTTTTAAAAATTGCAGAGAAAGTTTTGTGCTCTTCAAAAATTAGAAATTCGTGATAAAATAGTAAAAAACAAGAGTAATTAACAAAATAATAGACTCAACCCGAAAAACTTGAGTTCGATCCCGGGTAAAGTCACTTTTTTTCTCTGTGATAAAGAAAATAATAAATTTTAGCATCCAAAAAAGCGAAATTTACAAAAAACTATTATTAAATCAAGAGTTAACGCATTATTTTCGTGAAAAAATGTAACATTCAATTCAAAAAACATAGGTTCGATCCCTGGTGAAATCACTTTTTTTTCTCTTTCCACAAAAATTATAATAAAAAATAAGGAAATAAAAATAACAATAACATAATTTTTACTTTCATAAATGTGAAAAACCTTTATTCAAAAAAAAAAAACATTAAATTTACACAATTTCGAAAGTTTGGTAAAATAATATTCTTAAAAGTGCTCAAATTGGCAATAACTATTAATTACCGATGAACATACGAGTTAATTACATTTTCCATCAAAAAACAAAACAAATAATATTTCGCAAAATTAAATAAGCTACGCTTATAGGTTCAACTCGAAAAACTGAAGTTCGATCCCGGGTGAACTCAACTTTTTTTCTCTCTTGAACTTTTTTAAATTCAATAATAAAGAGAAATATAAACAAAAAAATGACCAAATGTTAAAATAAACGCAAACTCGTTAAAATATATAAATAAACTAAAAGGAAATTCGTTTAACTCAAACAACTTGGGTTCGATCCCGGGTAAAGTCACTTTTTTTCTCTGTGTCAATTTAAATAAATAATTTAGAATAAAGAAAATAATAAACTTTAGCATCCAAAAAAGCGAAATTTACAAAAAAAATATTATTAAATCAAGAGTTAACGCATTATTTTCGTGCAAAAATGTAACAGAAACTCTTGGAAAATTCATTCAACTCAAAAAACTTAGGTTCAATCCCTGGTGAAATCACTTTTTTTTCTATCTTTCTACAAAAATTATAATAAAAAATAAGGAAATAAAAATAACAATAACATAATTATTACTTACATAAATGTGAAAAACCCTCTATGAGAAAAAACATTGAATTTGCACAATTTCGAAAGTTTAGTAAAATAATATTCTTAAAAGTGTTCAAATTTCAACCCAAAAAACGTAAGTTCGATCCCAGGTAAAGTCACTTTTTTTCCTTATCTTTTCACAAAAATTATAATAAAGGTAACCGTTTTAAAAGAAGGAAATAAAAATACCAACATTAATAATGTGCAATACTATGTATTAAGAAAAAAAACAAATACACATTTTCTAAAAAAAAATAATAATTTTAGTAAAATAATCATCTCAAAAGTGCTCAAATTTGCACTTTAAAGTAGCGAGTGCGTCAATTATCAAAACTATTAATTACCGATGAACATACGAGTTAATTACATCTAGGTTTCCATCAAAAAACAATGGTAATTAAAAAAAAATTAAAAAAAAAATATATTTCGCAAAATTCAATAAGCTGGGCATATAGGTTCAACTCGAAAAACTGAAGTTCAATCCCGGGTGAAGTCAACTTTTTTTTTCTCTCTAACTTTTTAAAATTTAATAATAAAGAGAAAAATAAACAAACAAATGACCAAATGTTAACAATAAACTCAAAAAATCTTTCGTTAAAATATAAATTAACTAAAAGGAAATGCGTTTAACTCAAAAAACCTGAGTTCGATCCCGGGTAAAGTCACTTTTTTTTCTCTGTATCTTTGCAATAACTATTGAAAGTAAATGAAATAGAGAGGATTAAATGACTAAATTATAACACAACTAATTACAAAAACAAAAATTTGTATTTTTGATTATTAAAAATCAATTTTTCGAATTTTTAAAGTCACTTAATTTCTCGTCAAAATTTAAATAAACGTCGATAATTATTATTCGGCAATCAATAATTAGAACAATTTAACGCAGCGAGTGCGTCAATTAGCAAAACCATTATTACTGATGAACAAACGAGTCAATTACATCTATTTTTCAATTCAAAAAAATGAATAAAACCAATACATATTTTCCAATTTGTATTTTTATTGAATTAAATAATCTAAGCATAAAAGCCCAACTCAAAAAACTCAAGTTCGATCCCGGATGAAATCAACTTTTTTTTGTCTGTATCTGTTTGCAATTTACTAATAATGAGGAAAAGAGACAACTAAATAACCACTTATTAACAACAAACAATTATAATTTCAAAAATCTTTCATGAAAATTTAAATAAACTCAAAAAACCTGAGTTCGATCCCGGGTAAAGTCACTTTTTTTTCTCCTGTATCTCTCCAATAACTACTGAAATTAAATAAAATAGAGATAAATGACTAAATAAAAATATAATTAATAAAGACAAAAACATAAGTCACTTATTTTATTTCAAAATTTGATAATTATTATTCGGCAATCAAAATTGATACAATTTAACGTAGCGAGTGCGTCAATTATCAAAACTGTTAAGTATCGATGAGCATAAGAAAAAAAAAGAGACGACAAAAACATTTTGTGTGTTTGATTTTATCTTATTTTTAAAGGCAAAATTTGTGTTCTTTTTGTAGTCGAATACGGTCCTGGAATGCTAATGCCTCCCTCACAACGTAATGTAATTCAATCTCTTTGTAAAAACAATAACAATAATGTTAATGGATGTAGATTTAATTTCAGCGTTTATGTTTGCATAAATGAGAAAATATGAAGCTAAAAATTACAATTTATAAAATTTACCATTGAAAGTGTAATCCGTATCGTTTTCCACTTTGTTTATTTATTTCGTATGATCAGATGAATCGAATCAAAGTTTGTGTCGTTCGTGAGATTTCCCAACGTATCTCATCAATTTCTTTGAGAGAAAAGAGAAACGGTATATTTAACGATAAAATCTAATCTCGTTGCTGACTTATTGAAGCTTTATAAGTCGTATGTTTCTGTTTTGACATGACGACTTTGAAAAAAACATTCATTTATTTTTTTTTTGGTAAGATTTAAAAAAAATTGTATAGATATTAATCTATTGCATCATCTAAAATCATTTTCAACTAAACAGCGTGTCTCAAAAAGAAGTTACAATACAAACTTGTGTTTTTTTTAAATCAAACACCATATGTTTCTTAGCGTTTTTGGATGTAGATTTTTATGACAATGTTTTTAATCATTTGCTTGATTTTAGAAATAAGACGGTTTTTTGACGAAAATATGCACTCTTTTAAATTTATTACACAAAAACTAAGACAGCTAGAACAAACTTTTTCTTACTTCTGCAAAAAAGAAAGTACAGAACATTTAAAGCTGTAGCAATTTTTAGAGTTTTGCATTTGTAAAGATTAATAAATTAAGAAGTTTGTTAAAAGTTAAATAACTTAAAAAATTTAAATGGAACACCCTATTTTTTATTTTTGCATTTAATAGATTGATAAATTGTCTATCTAAAAAAAGAAACTTTTAATGTCTAGAATTGATAAATGAAAAGATATTTAACATTCAATATAAATTGGAGCAACAATGATTATCAATATCTGAGCATTGTTGATACTATGGTAATCATAGTAATTCCACCACGGATCACTTATCAGTTGATTTATCCATAAATTGTAAAAGTCGTTATAAATACTGAAATTCGAATTATTTTATTGTAAAAATAAAGAATAATGGATTCAGTTTAACACAAATGTGATTATTAAGTGATATTTCTTCCATTTCTTGTGAAACAATAGTAATTATTTTTTTAATGTTTAACGTTAAATATCTTTTTAGTTATTGATTATAAACACCTAAAAGTAATAATTTTAGAAAGACAATTTAATAATCTTTTAAATGCAAAAACAATAAATAGGGTGTTCCATTTAAATTTTTTAAGTTATTGATCTTTTAACAAACACCTTCATTTTTCTATCGTTGCAAATGCAACACACTAAAAAAATGTTACAACCCTATAGCTTGTACCTTCTTCCTTGCGGTAATAAAAAAGTATATTTCTAGATGTCTTAGTTTTTGTGTAATAAATTTTTAAAAAGTGCATGTTTTCGTCAAAAAAACCGTCTTATTTTTAAAACTAAGCAAAATCGACCAAAAAAGTTTAGCTTAAAGACAGTGTCATAAAAATCTACATCCAAAAACGCTAAGAAACATATGGTGTTTCATTTAAAAAAACACAAGTTTGTATTGTAACTTATTTTTGAGACACGCTGTATAGTTGAAAATAATTTCAGGCGATAAATTAGATTAGTATCTATCAATGTTCTATATATATTTTTTATTAATTTTACCATATAAAGGTCACTAGCGGACTTTTTAATTCGCTGGGACACCCTGTATATACGCTATTCTATAAAATACGTCGTCAATCACAACATATCTTATAAGTACCTATATAAAACACACTTATCTTGGCATTCTCTCAATTTTATCATTATTTTGACGAATTTCTTTAATTTAATGAAAATTAATAATAATTTAATGAACACCAGGTAAAACACCGAAACTTTCATCGGTTTTGGATTAAAAAA